AAAGAATCTGTTCCTTTTTCTGCTGGCAAAGAACACCACCACTTCTGAATATAGTGACGTCATCTTTTCTTACCCTCACAATTTCCTTTTCACTTTCACTTCTCATTCAAGAAAGCTGAAATATCAACTCTGTCACCTCATTTCCCTGCTCTGTAATTCTACCCATCCTTCTAGAAGCTGTAAGCAGTTACCCTTTGGCAAGCCTTTCCACTTCAGGGTAAATCAAACAGGTTTCTTGCAAAGGTGACATTTTCAAAGCTTGGTGTGAAATTGAACAAGTATTTATGTGACCCTGACTTGCTCATGCGAAATTCATATCTACAACTGTCAAAGGGGCACTTAGTTAGTCATGAATGTGGGAAAAGAACTGATTTGTGCATTCATACTTCTTATGCTTAAGTAGAAGCTGTAAATTAATGTAACTGTTCTGATTCCTTCATGTTAGCGGAATAGAATCATAGAATCATAGAATTTAAGGGTTGGAATGGACCTTACAGATCATCTAGTCCCAAACACCTGCATGGGCAGGGACACCTCCTCACCAGATCAGGTTGCTCAAGGCCTCATCCAGCCTGGCCTTGAACACTGCCAGAGTTGGGATAGCCACCTGGGCAACCTATGCCAGTGTCTCACCACCCTCACAGGAAGAAACTATTTTCTCATATCCAACCTAAACTTTTCCCTCCTTCAGTTTGAACCCATTTCCCCTTGTCCTACCATTGCAGTTCCTAACACAGAGTCCCTCTCCAGCTCCTTGTAGGCCCTTCAGATAGTGAAGAGTTGCTCTGAGGTCTCCACACAGTCTTCTTTTCTCCAGGCTGAGCAGCCCCGACTTCCTCAGCCTGTCTTCATAGGGTGGTGCTCCAGTTCTCTTATAAATTTTGTGGTCTCCTCTGGACTTGCTGCAACTGTTCTATGTCCTTCTTATGTTGAGGACACCTGAACTGCATGCAGTATTCCAGCTGGGGTCTCACGAGAGCAGAGTAGACTTCTGAAGCTATGTAGAAGTAGAAGCTGAGCAAAATCGTATTTTGCAAGGAGTTACAGATATAGTCGTGTCTGTCTGGTAAGCAGTGAGTCCTCATACACACAGCCTGTTTAGTACATTCTTCATATGTTTAGTGTGAGTTAAAGAACTGTATGTCTCTCTTCATTTGCATCCTTTTGCATCTCAGTCACTTAGCACTAAACAGCACTGATTTAAGACATTCACATCTTCCACCTGTCTGCTCCCATTGCTGTTCTGAAGGTTACTGACCTGGAAGAACTGGCAGAAGGGAAGATGTTTCCACTCTGAGCTTTTCCTGAGTAAATCCTACTTTTCTGAGCATAAACTCACCTTTTTCAGGAATTTAAAACTTGCTGGCAGATTTTGCAGTGTTGGCACAATTTCCTTCTTGAATGGTATGCAAATCTGGGGTTGAAGGAGTGGGCAAGGAGTAAGGCAATAAGATTCTTTCAAACATCACAATTTGGTTCTGGAAGGGCCTTTCTTTGTGTCTCTTGTGAGTCTAGGATAGCTACTTCCTTACTCTTCCCATCATCCAGAGCATTCAACACTCTGCCTTTTCATGTTCAACACTCCCATAGAAGCACTTCTTTGCATGGAGGAGTTTCAGATATGTATCTTTGAAGCATTTTCCAAAGATCAACATCATTGTAGTATTTAGTTTATGAGCTTATAGTTTACTGTTCTCACCTTTCCCCACAATACATTTCTCTCAGCATAATTTAAACTTGGGGCAGCAGCAGCACTTTCTGATGGCATGCTTGTTCCTGATGCTGAAACATGGTCTCTCTCTCTCTCTCTCTCTCCATTGAGGGTTCCTTTTTGCAATTTGTAATTATGTGCTGAAAATAAACTCAAGTGGTACTTCACTCCCTTTATACATTTGATTTGGATGCTGCAGTAAGCTTTGAAGAAAACCCACAGGTTTGCAGGACTCCTCACTCATGACATCATGAAATACACTTTTATATTCCCACATCAGTACTTAGCTGTCTGATAGGTACTTGTGTAACACAAGGACTTCTGGGGGTGATTAGATAAACAATGAATATGAGGAATACCGATACTCTTCACACTTCGTCTGATTTTAAGTTAGATATTCTCGAGTTTTATAGTGTGGTATTTTATGACATTCAAAGTTCTAAACAACTAGCTAAAGCATTCATCATTTATACTTATTTCTCAGTGTGGCATTTAAATTTTGCTAGGAATATTCAAACTGAGTTAAAGCAATGTTCATTTGTGTTCTGGGTGAATGAGTCCATAACTCCTTCTTCCTTTTGTTTTTCCTTTTTTTAAGGTAAAAAAGTCACAACAGTGCCTACAACTCTTGAGCCTATGACTCCTCTGCAAACCAAGAGTGTGAAATTGTCATCTGCTAAAATTACTTTTACACCTCCTGTCTTTGAGACTTCAATTACTGAAGTGCCTGTCACACAAAAAGAGGCCCCTCCTTTGGAGGAAACAACTCCAGAGACTGAAGAAGGTACAGAAATGACTACTGAAGTGGTTGAGGAAAAAAGGGAGATGGAGGAGCTAAGGGAGAACATTCAGTTCAGCACCCTTCTACCTCAGACTGTCACAGATGGTGAAATAAGCCCTTATGATACACTGGGAAGGACTGAATATGGTGTTTCACCTAGGCTAACTGAGAGCACATCTGCAGTTGTGGAACTGGATCACACTTACTCTGAAGCAGAATTGCCGGAGGAGCAAGGTAGGTCTGAAAGCATTGAGGACGCTTTCTTGACCTCTGTAATTTTTCAGGATAGTACAGCTGTAGCTAAGAGTTCCACTGGTTTGTGGGAAGATACTGAAACAGGAGATGCACACAAACATGATGCTGATAATCAGACTGAACAAATAGAAGTGGGGCCCATGATGACAGCTACAGATAGCTTGTTATCGACTTCTTGGAGAGAGTCTCCCAGGACAGGGACTTCAGTTTCACTAACAAAAGAGAATGTGTATCATGGTTCCCACTCAACAAAAGAACCCCCAAAAAACTCTATGGAGGCAAAATCTGATAAGAAACTTACAACTGTTGTAATCCCTAAAGTATTGCTCACTGATCAGTATGATCTTACTACAGAGGGGGAGGGCAGTGAGAGCATGTACACCATTATGCCTGATAGAGTTTCTGGCATGGCTACTGGTAGTGTCCCAGAATCAGATGTGCCTGCTGCATCAGAGACACCTTTAGATGAGCATGCAGTAATCACTGGACAATTTTCTACAGAAAAGGAGTCAACGCCATACATTAAATTTAGTTCTGCAACGGTGTTTGATACTGAGGCATCCATTCAAGAAAGCAGAGAGGATCTGCAGCCTACTGTGACATCTGAAATACCTGTATCCTTTTCTGTTTCATCTGTTGATCAAACAGAGTCTGAGGCCATCACTGTCTCAGGAAGTTCTGATTTCCCACAAAGCTTTGGAGAAGACACTACATCTGTTATCCCCTCATCTCAGCAAACAGAAGAATCACCTGTTTTAGAAGAGCAGGAAAAAACACAGAAGCCAGAAATGAGAACAACGGGTGTTAAGATCCCTCATGCCACATCTGTCATTCCTCCTTGTGTTTCAGCAGACTCTGAGGGATGTTCTGCAAGGGAGAAGTTCACACATGCTCCTCCAGCTTCTAGCACATGGCTGCCAACAGATGAAGGTCAGGGGTATGTGACAGAAGGGTCATCTCATACTGAGAGAATACTTGAGTTAGCTACAGAAGATGGTGTCTCTGGAATGGAGCCCACATCATCTCCAGGGCAAACTGCAGAATACACAAGGCATCCAGGAACTCTGATTTCAGCAGTTACAGAAGAAACTGGTGCAAGCATGGAGCCAGCAGAGACCACAAGTAATGAAGAAGTAGTATCAGATGATTTTGATCAGAGTAGAGGTACTACAGGTGTCTCCCACACGAGCAGCTCTTTAGATTTGGAGATGGCCACAGTATCCAAAATATCAGGGGAAGAAACTAGTGCAACAATAAGGTCTTTTAGCTCCTCAGGTCTTACTGTGTTACCAACTCCTATGCCCACAGTCATGGAGGTAACTGAACATGAAGGAGGTGAAACATCGGGAGCTAAGGGAACTGTTATATTTACAGACGTAGCAAAGATAGATACTGCAGTTCCAGAGAAAGAATATGATGCTTCCCTAATTCCAGTTACTATAGAGAGTGAGGTCACTAGAGATATGCCACTTACTGATCAGACTCCTTTTGATGGTATCTTTCATACAGAAGCAACAGAAACAACTGCAAAACATAGTGAGGTTTTCCCAGAGGAACTCTTCACGAAAGGAAAAGATAAGCAACCAGGAACTGCCACAGAGTATACCTTATCTGTGACATCTGTCCAAGAATATGAACTAAAGACAGAAAAAAGGTCTGAACCGTCTCCAACAGCTGTTCAGAAAAAGCAAGATGAGACAGGTTCAGCTTATGATGAGACATATCCAACAACAGAAGTACTATTGCCTGCAATGAAGTTCACAGACCATGGAGGAGTTCCGGGACCTGATGAAACCAGCACCCAGACCTTGCATCTCACTGTGGCTCTGAAAGTTGAAACTGCTACTAATCAAGATGAAAAGGTCACTAAAATGATGCCTGTAACAGCAGGTACCCAAGTAAAACCACATGAAAGCAGAGGAAGCCCCACCAGGGAAGAAGACAGTGATGTAGTGAGCTGGGAGTCTGTGTTGCCCTCCCAGATAATGCCAACAGGCCATTCCACTGTGAAAAGCATTCCTCGTCTGACTTTGGGAGCTTCTCCAAGCCAAACTAGTGAAGGTTCAGGAATGACTGAAGAACCTGAAGAAATCAAGCCAGCTGTATTTGCTGCTAATGCAACAGATGAGGCAACAATTCTCAGTAGTGTAACAACACCATCCATCAAAGCTGTAGAAAAACATCAGCCTACATCAGCAGCTAAACCTTTTGTTACTCAAAAGTCTCCACGTATCATTCCTGAGGAGGAAGAGGATGTAACAAGCAATGACATGATCATAATTGATGAATCTGTTTCTCCTGGTAAAGCCACTGCTGAAGACGATCTGACAGGAAGGTTGTTAGAGCCAGAAATTGATAAGGAATATTTCACAGCATCAACTGCTACGTCAGTGGCACGACCTACTGCACCACCCAAAGTGAAGGAGGCCACAGAGGCTTTGCAACCTCAAGAGGTGTCTCCTTCTACTTCACATCCTGATAATGATATAAGATTGTATGTTATTCAAATCACAGGCAATGACACAGGTAAGATTTTGCCTTTTAGACCTGCAGTCCATCAGAATGGACAGTTTATTGTAACAAACAGGTGGGACTTAGAATATACAGGAGATGTTTCTTGGAACAGTGAAGGATGCAAAGTACCAGTTTTATCTAGGCAGCAGCTTACTGAGTAGGTCTGTTTTTCTAGCCATTAAAGAACCCTCAGAAATGTATTTTTATGTTGTGATAAGATTAATTTCTATGCAAGAATGAATATGAAACTGTTGCATTTCCTCTTAAAAGTCATGATGGCTACAGTCCAGTTTTCTTATTTGATGTTGTCAAGTCATTGATTTAACTTCAGCTATATGTGAAACAAGCATTTTAATCTCACAGCTTCCATTCCATGCATTACTAGTCCTAAATGAAGCACCAGATTATGTTAACATTCCATTAGTCTGTAGCAATTAACAATGCCATGTACAGTGTAGACAGCTAAAAAATGGTTAAGGCAAACTGCTGCATCTACAAATGGGCCTCCTGTGATTTTGGGAAGGGCTATTTTATTCATGTCATAGTATTTTTTTGAATCCAGTGTAGAGAATATGTGATGCAAATTGACATGATTTTTAATTCTGCCACATTTTTTAGCTGGTGGTTCTGTACATGTGTATGCAGCTTCAATTTCATGGGTATCCAGAACAGAAACTTCTAAAGTAGCAATGAACTGTTGGTTTTCATGATGAATATGTCTCCATAATGCAATAGCTGAAGGCTATGCAATATTACTTCAAAGAGTCCTGTCAACTGTTATTTAAGATCTCTTGTTAAAAGCTTGTTTTTTAAAATGAAGCGTAACAGAACTAACAAGCAGGACAAAGCACAGAGTTTCTGTTAGGTTCAATGTTGTGTCCTGTTTAATTTTTTTACAGTTGTATAATAATTATTTTATTCTTTTGAAGGACAACAGTAAAAGAATGGATTTTATATCTTATATACCTTAACTACATGTGTTGCATTTGAATGGTTATGTAAGGAACTGTTTCATTGGTTCTTGGCCATAACATCAATATCCCCAAAGAACTCCTCCAGCAGAATACATAATTTGTGGGGATCTTCTGGATGGTTCTGTCAGGTTTGTGCTTGGTAGAGTTCCATTCAAAAATTAAAAGTTAGGAGTGGTTTCCTCTGAGATGTGCTGTATCCTCACTGGACTTTCCATACTTTCGATTTTGCATTTTTATTCACTTTATACTCATTATTCTACTTTATATTTATGAGATGTAAGTATCAGGATAGCCTTCCATTTCAGAAAACAATAGCTCTGTTGTTTTGACATTTAAACACTACTTTTGTTTCTGTAGCATACTATCATTCTTTGAAGCTTTTTACATTACCAGTGTCTTGGGAGTCTCCATTAAGTGAGACAAGTCCAGTAAGTCAGAGCAGAAGGGGAATTTCTGAAGACTAGAGTTAAGCCACATATTCAATTCTTTTGTACCTGTGGAAATTTGATTAATTTGACTCAATAATGAATAGCTGAGCTACGTGGTAACTTGCTTTCCTGCTAGATTTTTGAATTGCACTACAGTTTATTGCATACAGGAGAGCGCATTGTGCTGGGCCGCTGCAAGTTCCAAGTGGATGAAAAGAAGTATGATGGTTTGGGAAGGTGTGGAGCTAGGATTTCTCTGTGTGTACATCAAGGAGAATCTTATTTCACTCTTTTTTCTTTTTTTTTTCAGAATGATATGGGTACTGTGAATCATTAAATTAGGAATTATTTCAAACTGGATTATCTAAAGAACAGTGGATCAATAAGTAGATGCTCTTCATAGCTACTCTTGCTTTCCCCTGAGTGATCAGGTCTTTAGGACAAACTTTCTTTAGGATTTTTCTTCTTCACAAACCTTCAAATCATGCATTTCCCAGGTATAAATATGTCTGAGGATGTTTATAAGTAAAGCTAAAGTTATATCTCCTTAAAAAAGCCTGCCTTTAAGAATTATTTAGTCTGTGGGATTAGAAAAAAACAATTCTTTGCCTTGAGATATTTTTCAGTTCTCTATATGGAAGTATCTGTATTCTCTTTAAACACAGAAAGCTTCATCGTGTATCTAGTGCAAGGATAAAAAGGAATTTTCTTTCTTAGAGAGTGTCTGAAAAATCCTGTCAAGCCCAATTTTGCCTCACTGTTCCTCTTTTTGATGAAGAAAATGTATAAAGGTGATGAAGAGAAATTATTTTGGCAAACATTACTATTATATGCCTTTCACTAAGACATAGTTTAACTTCTTGTTCTATCACTCATTATTTCAGAATTGATCCACAGTCATAAGGAACTACATAAACTGTACCTCTGGCTTTTTATTCTCAGCTGAATGGGAACTAGAAATGCCATTTCCATCATTACATCTCTCTGATAAAACAAAGTTTTTTCCTTCTTTCCTTTGGCAATTTTTCAAGGTATTATAGCTTAGAATTCTTGAAAACATTTAGTCAGTGAGAGATATAAGCAAAGGCCTTCATGATTTTCAAGTCAAGGGTCCAAATCTGACTCCTAAGGAAGGAGAGCTTGCTTATCAAAGCCCTTCAAAAATACCTGTTTCAAATCATGAAATCATAGAATCATAGAATTTAAGAGTTGGAATGGACCTTACAGATCATCTAGTCCCAACCCCCTGCATGGGCAGGGACACCTCCTCACCAGATCAGGTTGCTCAAGGCCTCATCCAGCCTGGCCTGGAACACTGCCAGGGTTGGGCAGCCACCACATCCCTGGGCAACCTGTGCCATTGTCTCACCACCCTCACAGGAAAACCCTTTTTCTCTAATATCTAACCTAAACTTTCCCTCCTTCAGTTTGAACCCGTTACCCCTTGTCCTGTCACTGCAGTTCCTAGTACAGAGTCCCTCTCCAGCTCCCTTGGAGGCCCTTCACATAGTGAAAAGTTGCTCTGAGGTCTCCACACAGTCTTCTCTTCTCCAGGCTGAACAGCCCCAGCTTCCTCAGCCTGTCCTCATAGGGGAGGTGCTCCAGTCCTCTTATCAACTTCGTAGCCTCCTCTGGACTTGCTCCAGCAGTTCCATGCCCTTCTTATGTTGAGGACACCAGAACTGCATGCAATATTCCAGGTGGGGTCTCATGAGGGCAGAATAGAGGGGGAGAATCACGTCTTTTGACCTGCTAGCCTTTTGACACAGCCCAGGATTCGATTGGCTTTCTGGGCTGCTAGAATCAAAATAACAATGAGAGGTTTGCTGTATACAAGGTATTGTCCATAAATGAATATATTATTTTCTTTTTAGTGTATGCACAAGGATTTGAACTATTTTTTGGTCAATTTCCCCCCTCATTCTTCACCTCCTTGTTCTTCAGCTTTTGCCAGAAGCAGCAGTTTCATAGTGAAGCAGGGCTCAGCAGATACTCAGCACCATGTTGTTTCCTATCAGACATCACTCAGTTACAGTAAAAGCTTGCTATTATACTAACACTTTTGAATATTGCTCTCTGCAGCTGTTTACCATCTGTAGCATAATAATTAAGTGCTCCACGGAGGTGTATTATGATTTTTTAGTTAGGAGGAATATTTTATACTCCATGTGGAAGACATGGGTCATGGTAAATGAATGGACTTTTGAGAACTGCAGGCATATTTAGTATCTTCCAGCAAGCAGGACAGAGTGCATCCCTTACAGCACAGGAGTCCCTTTGCCATTGGTTGGTATCCTACCTCCCATGAAGCCCATTGAGGCTGTGGGTCAGGTGAGTTCACCTGTGGCCATTCCCAGGTGGAAGGAGAAGAAGGAACCATTTCTTGCGCCTTTTCTTCTCATTCTTAAACCCTCACTAAACTGGCACTAAGTTCGCTGAAGTGCTTTGAAGTCTTTGGCTGGAATGTGCTGTCAATGTATGGAATGTGTTATATGGATGTCTGGAATGTGGGGGATATTATTCTTCATTATTGTCATAGACTCAAGCTGCACTTGAAAGGCGTTGAATGTTGACTGGGTTAAACTCACTTAAATCTAGTGTCAAGGCTATTAGTCTGTCTTAGACACACATCCCCCTTAACATGATGTAGCACAATATATAACTGAAAGCTGATGATAAATATTTTAATTTCTTCAATGCATTAAGCCCTGACATTTATTAGACCAGAAAAAGTCTCTCCTAGAGGACTTCTTTCCTTACCCAAGAGGAAAATACCTGCACTCCTAGCTCTTAAAATGCTAGCAATCAATTAAAACATTAATAAAGGAAGTTTCAGTTACTTTTAGATGATAAAAATAAATTACCCATGGAAACAGAAGTATTTTGGAGGCCCGGTGGAAGGTCAAGCTCATTAGCTTAAACTCTGGAAAATGCATTCTAGTGCTGATAAGAAAGAACACAGAGCCGAATAGAGTAAGCTGCTTATTTGTATGAGAGTACAGGGGTTTTCACTGAAAATCGTACAAACAATCCATGCATTTCCATGTGAGAAAGCGTGAGGCAGATGCACAAATTAATGAGGGATATAAGACATGCCTTTTTTCTGGCAGTCTGTGGCACATGGGCAGATCTAGGGCAGGTCTTTCAATTAATGAGGAATATATATTTTTACATAGGGAAACATCCCTTTTTATGCCTCAAAAAGGACCAGGTGCATGTTTCATAATGGAAGGGACTTGGGACTTTCATTCACTTGAGTGGAACAAGAGGTTATCCCTTGGGATTGTGACCATGTTGTGAAAGTGAGGAAGAAAAACAACCCTGAACTGTGAGGTGTTACCACAAGAACAGCTTTCCATTGCATCTGAAGGGACAGAGGAGTTTGACTCGCACTGTGAGGATGAGAAACTTGCCACCTCGTGCTGTGTTGTGTCCTCATAGTTCTGATGTATTGTGATGTTGAGGGCTGATGTTGTTGCTGGATTAGCTGCTGGGAAAAAAAACAAACCCCAATACCCAAACCAAACCTGAAGGAACTTTTCGCTCATAAAGCTTTTGTGAGCTGAAAAATGCTTGTGGGGGTGTTGTTTAGCAGTAGTTGAGGGGATGCTGAAAACATAACTCCTGTCTGTAGCGGGAGTAATTTGCACAGCTGCATTTTTTGGAGACATTTAAAAGTCTTTACTTAGTGAATATGTTTCAAAGTGCTTGTTGGACCCTGAGACTCACACCAGCTCTGTCTGGTTTCTTGTCCCCTCCAGCTTTGAAGAGAACAAAATTGCAGGAACTTGTGCTTTGTAGATTTTGGAATTTTATGGAAGGAGGTTACAAATCTTTGTGTTTCAACATGTGATTCTCTGATGTGCATATTTCTGTCTTAGCAGTGTGAGAGGGCATGTGAAATCTGAATGAAATACGGAATGGTAATGAGTCATAGTAATAAACCTTAACAAAGAAGGCAGAATAGAGCCTTTTCAGGTCCATCTTAGGCCTTGCCTTAAAATTCTTTTAATCCTGTTGTCTTCACAGCTCCTTCTGGAGAGCTGTCACAGGTCGTCATGGCTCTCTTTAAGCCTGATTCTAATATCTAGCTTGAATTGCTTCTTGGCCAGTTTATACCCATGTTTATTCTTGCCAGCATTGTCTTTAGCTTGAATTGGTCTTTTCTCTTCCTGACACTTATCCCTTGATACTTTTATTTCTCTGTTCAGTCATAGACAATAACCATGTACCCTTTCTCAGCCCTCATTTTGCTAACTTCTGAGGGGTATGTGTGCATGGGAGAGTAGAAATGCACTGCTAGCATGCTGGAGGGGGAGTGTTGATCTGCTGGAAGGCAGGAGGGCCCTGCAGAGGGACCTGGATAGGCTGGAGAGATGGGCTGATTCCAA